ATATATATATATATATATATATATATATATATATATATATATATAATACCATACTATACTATATTATACTCTATTATATTATAAATATACTAAGCAAATATATGATATATAGTATATACATGAATACGAATTTCTTATCATGATCCATCGCAATCATAATTTCCTAAGAGAATTATATTAGAAATAATAAAGGGAAAACAAACTAACTTTGAGTACTTGGAATAGAAAAATATGACGTGATGATGCGATGAGTCATCACTATTATCATGACATTCGTGATTTCGTATGGATATTTTGACGGCAACAAAAATATCAAATTAAAATTAAATAAAATGCAAGAAAAATCAAAATGATCATAAATATATATAATATTTATTTATACAAAATAACTTTCATTTATTTTTTTAAATATTTTATTATTGTGTGTGCGCGCGTGTGTATATGATAAACTAAAATATTTATAACGCGTGTGTATATGATAAACTAAAATATTTATAAAATATAATAAGTAATAGTAATTCATAAAATTGAAAACTTATCAAATCAAGATTATATGTATTTATAAAAATTAACTAAAAAAGATTTATAATATAATATATATATACATATATATATATATATAATATTATATATAAATATACATATAAAAAATATAATGTACTTATAATGATGATCAAACAAGTAAACACAATAAAATTTTAATTTATTTATATTATGTTTGTATAAGAATATCAATCAGTTAATTAAAGAAGCATTATATTTATTTGTCAACTTTATTTTTCAACATGTTCAGATATTCTCTATTAGATATAAATGAAGCATTTATCAACATTATTCTAAAATTTAGAATTAGATTAAATGTTGAGTCAAATTTTAATTTTTTATTAAAATTGCCATTGTGCAATACAATATTATTTTTTTAAATTAATATTGATATGTTTTTAATTATTTCTCATGAATTTTGTTTTAGAATATCTTTAATATATTGATCAATTATACCATTAATTCAGTATAAAGATTTAAATGATATGATATAATGCAGATCTACAATATGAATAAACTATTTGTCATTTAAAATTTGATATAATATAAAAAAAAGAGATTGATTTTTCTTGTACAAAAATGTTCATCTAATAAAAAACAATTAATTATATATATTATTTATCATTATATATGACAAAATTACCTCTTCTATTAGTAAATATATATAACTTAAATATTTTATGACCAAAAATATATATATAATTTATGAGGTAACATATTTTACCAATCTTCTTTGTTCTAATTAGAACAAAATATATTATAATAATATACTCAATATTTCTTGTATCATTGTTTAATTAACATCAAATTTTTTTCAAGTTATTATATTTCTATATTACATATAGAATAGAATATGATAAATTAATTTCTCGGACGTTTCTCGGATCATTAAGATCAGTAAGTTTTTTTTTAATTGAATCTAAAAATATTAACTTAATGTAAAATTAATTTTACAAAAGAAATTTATTAATCAAAATAATAATAACATAGTTTGATAGTTTTTGAAAAGATAGAATATTACATAAAACATTCTATATTTTTTATGTTCTATGTACATGAAATAAATAATATTAATATTATAATATTATATTATTAAATTTCTAAATTTGTATTCAGTTTTTTGATACTATATTTGTATTTAGTTCATCATTGTATTTTATATTATCATTTTATTCATTGTTATTTTTATCAGATAATGAAATATCAGATATGCTAGAATAGATTTTTTTTTAAATAATTAAAATTACATACAAAAACTTAAAAACAATATTTCATTACAATATTTCATTCAAAATTTATTATATTAATTTTGATTTTTCTTAAAAATTAATTTTATTTTTTAATCTTTCTTTCTTTAAATATACATTGCAGTAATTGTTTCTAATTTCAATTTATTTTTATCTTTAACTTTTACTTAATTAATAATTGAATAAAATCTTTCTATATTTGAATTTAAATGATATTAAATAACATTAAACATTAATATCTTATATATTTCTTGCTTATTTCATATTAAAATTTACATATTCATTCAAAAATTGTTGTGAATATTGTTTTTTTTTATAATGAAAAAATAAAATATTTAATAAATTCATCTTATTGAATTTTAATTTGAATTTATCTTCAATATTTTATTAATTGATTCTTTTTTTATTAAACATAAATTTTTATGTTTAACATTATTGGAATTAAAAATTTTTTATTAATAGAATTTTTTTATGATATTTTGAAAAATACATTAGTAAAATTATTTAATATTAGTAACAATTAATTTTATTAATGAAATATGAAATTATTACTTCATTATATCAATGAAAATTTTTTCGGTCAATTTATCGTTTAATTTTTTTCTCGTCGATCTTAACGTTTAACTAAATAAAACGTATAACTATATAATACCGCTCTTAATTTTTATTAATCTCTATTTTCTTTTTTGCATAACTTATGATCTTTTCAATTAAAATCTAATATTTAATTAATGAATATTATGTTTTCAATTATTAATAAAATTGATTTATTTTATTTTAATGGTTTGGAAAATCGACTATAATAAATACGTTATTTTTTTTATTAGTTCTAAATACAATCATTTTATTTAGTGTAACTAAAATATTTATTGAATTCTTTAAATTCTTTTGTTCATATTTATTTTTATTCAAAATAAATTAAATATTTATTGCGAATTTTTTTTTTATGAAGCATTATAAAATTACTTACATTATAAAATTTAGATTACTAAAAAGAAAATAATAATCGATCTCATAAACTAAAATTATAATTAAAAAGAAATATATATAAATGAAGATAAATATAAAAAAAATGTTTTTAATACATTTACAATTATTTATAATTATAATTACAATTTAATCAGGCTTAAATCTTTTTATTGTTAATATACAATACAATTGTATTTAATCTTTAGTTCTATGTATATATGTAATAATGCAATAAACATTAGCAATTTGTGATCATTTATAATAGTTGTTAAGTTTCATATCTATAAATTTAAAATATGTTATAAAAGGCTTCATTTTGAACAATATCTTCTTTAGATATCGATAATTAAATTTTATTTATAAATATGCTTCTATAACAATATATATTATATATAATGTACAATAATATAATATATAATAATAATTGCTATATAGTATTATAACTTATATTATAATTACGATAATAAGCGACCATCATTTAAGAATGGTTGGCAATTAATATACCTAAATGATGGATGAAAAAAAATATCTCCTTGTGAATTTTTCTTTTTCTGATGTATATACATTGATTCATTTGTTTATTTAGAACAAAATTCAAAAAACAAAATTGAATAAATAGTTGTAAGTTTTTTTTCTTTAATTGGAACAGCATGCATTTATTTATGATAAATAATAATAATATTCTAAAAATAGCAAGCGAGATGACTTATAGAAAAGAGAGGACTTATTCTTCTTCCTCACTTATCATTATGTGTTACTATGTTATCTCATTTGTAATATGTAAAATTTTGATCAAAATATTTATCTATATTATATATCATCATAAATTTAATTAAAAATAATTATTCTTTTGAATTATTAATGTTTTGCATTTTTCTTTTATTTCTGCTTGCTGTAACTTTGTCTTCATAAAATTGAAAAAAATATACTTATACTATTGTAATTTTAAAAAATTATTTTCTTTTAATATTTTTTGAATTAAATAAAGTCTTAATAAAATGCTATATAAAAATCTGTGTGAAAAAATCTAAAACTGAAAAAATTGCTATATTGGAAAATAATAGATTCTATAGATATATTTTGTATAATTGGGATAATCGCTTCAGAAGCGTTAGTTTCAATATATCCTAAATAATCGGAATCCATTGTATTTTTCTGTATAACAGTATACTCAAAATCCTGAATTCCTAA